CTCCAGCACCTCCAGCACCAGCAGCACCTCCAGCACTAGCAGCTCCAGTACCTCCAGCACCAGCAGCACCTCGAGCACCTCCAGCACCAGCAGCACCTCCAGCACTAGTAGCTCCAGTACCTCCAGCACCAGTAGCACATCCAGTACCTCTAGCACCAGCAGCAGTACCTCCAGCACCTCCAGCACCAGCAGTACCTCCAGGACTAGTAGCTCCAGCACCAGCAGGACCGTACCCTCCACCACTAGGACTGCCTCGCCTAACGATCCACGCACGAATCGCCTGCGGCGAGAGCGTCTCAAGTAGATCAGGCTGCGGTGGCTGTCCAACTCCAGGACCTCCAACAGGGTCACCCACAGCTCCACCGCCACTAGGACTCGCAGCAACCCCAGAGTCAGCACCCTCAGTCGCACCATCCCCAGAACCAGCACCCCCAGGCGCAGCACCCCCAGAACCCTCACCCTCTGTCTCAGCACCCCCAGGCTCAGCACCAGCAGTCTCAGCTCCAGAGTCCACAGCAGCAGGCTGCGGAGGCGGCGAAGACGGCCGAGGCGGAAAACCAGGGGGGGTCTCCAAGCGTGGCGAGCAGCGAGTGGCCGCCATGTCGTCAGCGGCGGGGTCACCCCCCTCAGCTGGGCCAGAGGAGTCAGAAGAGATCTCCAGAGGGTCAACCAATGGGGGTGGGTCTACCTGAGACACACCTGAGGGAGCAGGACCCTGTGGGGGGAGGGGGTCTACCGGGGGTGGGAGACTGGTACCAGGAAGAGAGGCGCGAGGGGGACCGGGTGGGACGCGTGCGGGTGTAGCCTGTAGAAACAGACAGTCTCGTCAAAGGTGACGTCCTGAGAGGAGAAGACTCGACGCGAGCGTGGGTAGTAGAACTGCCACGGCGGGGCGTCAATGGGGAAGCCAAGGAAGACGCAGCGGAGAGTGCGAGAGGAGAGCTTGCTCGCTTTGGCATCGCAAACAAGGGAGAGCGCGCCCCAGACCCGAAACGCCGACGCATCGCCAACCTTCCCCGTCCACCGGAGTGTGGGCGAGGTCTCTGGCTCAGAGACACAGGGCCAGAGGTTGAGCTGATGCGCAGCGTATCGGACCGCAAACGGCCACAGAAAATGGGGAGCAGCCGCATGGATCATGGAGGTACGAGCAACCTCCATGATCAAGCCAATGCGACGCTCAGCAATCCCATTCTGCTGAGGAAAGGCCGGAAGCGTGAACGTCTGGCGGATGCCCTCGTCTCGACAGAACTCCTCAAGGAGGCCGGAAGAGAACCCACCGCCCCTGTCAGAGTGCAGACGCAGGACTGGCAAGTCCCGACGAAACCGCTCGCGCAGCTGGTGACGAGTAGCACGGATCCTGGGGATCAAAACACCGCTGACATCCGCCTTGCGCCGCAAGGGGAAGACAGTGGTGTAGCATGTGTAGTCGTCAACAACCAGCAGGAAGTAGCGCTCCTGGTCCGTTCCACCGATAGGGGCCGGGCCCCACACGTCCATGTGGAGAGTCTGCAGAGGAGCAGTGGTCGGAGGAAACTCGGAGGAGTGAGGAGTGGAGCGCTGCCGCCCCTCGACGCAGGGAAGGCACGGCGGTGCAGGCGACCGCGGGAGGGAAGGCAGGGACCTGGGAAGGCCAGAGACAAGGAGACGGGAGTGCATGCTGCGGAGACGCGGCAGTGAGGGGTGACCGAGGCGGTGGTGCCAGAGGAGAGTCTGGTGGGAGAGTACCCGACACGAGCAAGACGCTGCAAGGTGATGCTACGCAGACACCCGACTCGACGCAGCCACCTGACCTGACTCAGCCACCTGTGCAGACGCAGTGGTCAGTGTGTATAGACTAGACCCAGGCCGTCGAGTGAATGTAGCTAGGTGACGGCCAGTCCGGGAGCACGTACAGATCGCCACACGCTGCCCTCCAGGAATAAAGGTATCAACCCAGACATCCTGAATGGCAGCGTTGCTTACCAAGTTCGTCGAGAACGTGGGGAGGTGGAGACCTGACATAGAACCGGAGGGGACTGCTGGACACGGGAGGACAGTGGGGGCTCGCGCAACTACTGGGCCCCCAGAGGGGTCAGCCAGTGAGACTGGGACAGGTGCTGCGAGTGGTGTGACTGTGGTGCAATCACGAAAAAAGCAACATGATGCGCCTGAGTCAAGCGTGAAAGTGTGAAAGACCTCAGCTGATGCAGGACCTGTGGCAGTAAACGCACTAGCACATAGAGCGTCGGCAGACTCACGGGCACCTAGAGCTGCAGCAGACTCACCAGCACCTAGAGCGGCAGCAGACTCACTAGAACCGAGAGCAGCAACCTCTACACAACCAGGGACGCATCGCTGAGAAGCACAGTCGCGAGGTCGCTGAGGCCACATAAAACCAAAACCTCCACCACCAGGACGGCCTCGCTGAAAAACCCACTCACGAAGCTGCTGAGGGGTGGGGTCGTCCGTGAGAGGCAGTGACCGCTGCTGTCCACCCCTAGCCGCTGCAACTGCCGTGATAGTGGCCATGACAGACAGTGACGGTCAGTAGTAGGTCCAGCACCTCCAGCACCAGCAGCACCTCCAGTACTCCCAGCCGCACCTCCACCAGCAGCGGCAGTAGCACGGGCAGCAGCAGCAGCACTAGTAGCAGCAGGGCGGCTCCGTGGGGCTGGGCGGCGGCTCCTCCAGCACTCCCAGCAGCACCTCCACCAACAGCAGTAGTAGCACGCGCAGCAGCAGTAGCAGGAGGGCGGCTCGGGCTGGGCGGCGCAGCTCGGCCTGGGCAGCGCTGCTCAGCAGGGCACAGCGCAGCAGTAGTAGCGTATGCAGCAGCAGCGCGCTGGGCAGCAAGGCGCGCTGGGTTGTTGTTGTTGTTTTTTATTATTATTATTATTATTATTTAGGGTTGTGGGGCGCGCTGGCGCGCTTAGCAGCGGAGCGCGCTGGCGCGCTTTGCAGTGGGGCGCGCTGGCGCGCTGGGCTGCGGGGTGCGCTGGCGCGCTTAGCAGCGGGGCGCGCTGGCGCGCTTAGCAGCGGGGCGCGCTGGCGTGCTGGGCTGCGGGGCGCACTGGCGCCCTAGGCTGCGGGGCGCGCTGGCGTGCTTAGCAGCGGGGCGCGCTGGGGCGCTGGGCTGCGGGGCGCGCTGGCGCGTTTAGCAGCGGGGCGCGCTGGCGCGTTTAGGGCTGCGGGGCGCGCTGGGCTGCGGGGCTGCTCGCTGGCAGAAGGGGCGCGCAAGGCAGGGGCTGCTCGCGGGCAGCAGGGGCGCTCGGGTCAGGGGCTGCTCGCGGGCAGCAGTGGCGCGCGGGGCAGGGGCTGCTCGCGGGCAGCAGGGGCGCGCGGGGCAGGAGCTGCTCGCGGGCAGCAGGGGCGCGCGTGACAGCAGGGCAGCGCGCTAGGGCAAGCAGTGCGAGTAGCTGCAGGGCAGCGTGACACTGTGCGAGAGGTCCGGACAGCGCAAGGGCGCTCGGGCAGGAACTAGCGGAACGATCGGTGGGCCCTAAAAACCTAACAGGTTTCCTGCTCTGAATTCCATGTCAGAATCAACTGTGCAGGAATGATTGACTAGCAAGCAAGCATGAGTACAAGTACTAGGTTTGACCTAAAGTGTTGTACTCAGAGCGTATTCCTATCCTCGTATCAAGAGAACCTCATATCAACCTCCCACTGAAAATTCCCCTAAACCCAAAACCTCTCGCTAGTTTTACCAGGCAAAAAGTACAATCTTGATATGAGGTTCTCTTGATACGAGGATAGGAATACGCTCTCAGTAGAGGCTACCCCACTACAGCCTACACATACAAATGTAATTTGACAACGCTGATTCGCAACACAATTGTAAAGGTCTATTGGGCTAAACTACTGCTCCTGATGTGCTTCAATGGGTACTTCAACATAGGGTACATATAGAGCACACCCACAGCACATTCACAAAAAAAAAACCATGAATGTGACATACACATCATAGTAAAACGGTTCGTTACAACCATAAGCGTTGAAGGTTGGAAATACATAGTGAGAGGCTGACAAGTAGCCATTGTTGAGCCTGTTGATGTCTACCGGGCCGCACCGCAACCATTATTGGTACACTGTATAATGTACAGCCGTTGCTGGTTGTCGTAAAGACGTGGAGCGGTGGGGAGCGGTAGGGAATCCCGTGACACCACCGCCACCAACGAAGACACCAGTACGCACATTTAGTAGTGTGCGCGAGTAAACGATGAGTACGAGTCACGACGGGTTGCTGAGATTGTTTACCCAAGCTATTTCAAAACCTGATTTTGTTCTATGTTGAGGAAAAAAAATATTGCTCTCCAAAGCATTCATTATCTGCTATGAATCCATGTGTGCATGCACAATCCGTAGCTGCTGAAATGGCTGAATGTGATTTGTGATTCTAACTGTACTCTTGGTGAAAATGTCAAGGACGCGGTGTAGCTTGAAACGTCATCGCGCTCGTTACCCCAAATCACTTCAGACGACGCGTGCTTATCATCGTTAATTTCGCCAACAGGCGGAACGACCTTCGCCTGCAGCGAAGCAACCCACCTCCCTTCTTCCCTTCCCTTCCACCCTTCCCTTCCACCCCTCGACACGCCTCAGCTCACCACGCCCACAGCGTTACTGCCAGTCGGTTCCATTACTAACTCGCATTAGCTATTCCCCACCTCCGCTACCAACCCCTTAGTCGGACCCGAGGAGCTCCATACTCGCGTTTCAATCACGTCCTCGCGTAGTCCCTACGCTAGAAATTGGCCATGGCGGCCCGAGCGAGTCCATCTCCAGTTCCGATTTATGCTAAGCGCTATAAATTATATGCTGCGTCTCACCTCAATCATCACAGCTTCTGCCTCCGTTTTCTCTTACTGCCTTCGATTTCTCATACCAAGCACCTCGCGGCTCACGGATTTGAATTCTCCCGTGTGATTCTCACTCCCATTAACGTGCAAGGTTAGATTTTCACCGTTGACAGTCTCTGCCAAATTGTACAACTGAGAGCTGACCATCGAATCGATCTCTCAATGGCTAACTCCTGGCTTCACTCGGCTCGCAAGCTGCTTCCTCTCACTCTCTCCGTCCTGCTCCTCTTCGCCGTCACCAACGCCAGCGCCGCGCGGCCTATCCTGCACGCGTCCCCTTCCGACACCAGCGCGGATTCCGCGGTATCCCCGCACAGGGTGGAGCGGAAGCTGTTCAGCTGGGACGGGGTGACCGTGGATCAGATCATTGCCGGCAGCCTGGGCACGATCGACGGTCCGGAGGACGACGAGGTGACGACGAAGATCGTGGAGATATTCATGAACGCGGGGTACAACGTGATGGTCATTCAGAGCGACCACTCCGTGCAGGGCGACCCGGCGTCCGCGCAGGTGGAGGTGTGGCACTTCTGGGATAACTCCGAGTTCAAGGTGTTTTACAAGCAGGGCCCCTTCTCTGTGGAGAATCTTGGCAATGGCGGGTACGAGAACTGGGCGTTCGGAGGCAACTGGGTGCGCTACGGCGCGGATGAGAAGGTCGTCGTGTTCTCTTGAATCAGTTTCTAGTCTTCCTAGATCCTGGAGGTTCAGATCAGATCAGATTAGACCTAGCAGATGTGACCAGGTGTTGGCCTGGTGGTGTTCTTGCGTATTTGTTGATCATACGGTATGTCCTGGTGTCTGGTAATGCATTGTCTTCGTCATGCAGTTTGTTGCTGTCACTGGGTCATGCAGTCTGTTTCGTCCAGGTGTGTGTTGATAACGGTACAGATGTTCAAATCAACTCATGTCTATAAATACACATCGCACAAGCAACTTTCTACATTCACCAGCAACAGCTACGGTACATGTCACAGTCGCTTACAAGGCCAATGCTGAGCGTTTATGAGACGCACACATCGCAAATGCTGAGCTTGCTGCTATGCATACAAAATTATAGACACACCACCACTGCCAGCACTGTGCATGTACCCTCAGCGTACACACTCAGCCGAGCGGCAACGGTCACAGGTTGTAGACACGGAGGGAGAGGCCGACATAGAGGGTGGAGGAGGTGCAGACGATAGAGCTGGCGGGCATGGCGGCAACAATAAGATCAGAGGTTGTAGACGCAGAGGGATTGGCCGACGTAGAGGGTGGAGGAGGTGCAGACGAAGCCGCTGTTGAGCTTGCTGACGTACGAGGTCTTCCCGCGGAAGTACTTGTAGATTATGGCCGCACACGTGTCGCCTGACTTGACTGTGTAGCGCTTGCTGCACGACGAGGCGCCGAACTTGGCTTGCGCAACGCAGAGCTGGTTTGTGGAGGGAAGGGGGGAGTGGGGGGTGAGGGAGACATGGGGGCGGTGAGAGGAAGCATGAGGAGGTAAGAGCAGGAAACCAGTACAGGAAGCTGACGGTGGTCCTCCTCACTCTGCCCTCACGCTTGCACACTTTAAATCTCACCCCCGCCCCTTTTACTCACGGAGGAGTCAGAGTAATCAATGAGGTTGTTGCAGTTTATCCTGGGGTTCATCCGGTACAGCTCCGTGGAGTCACACCTTCACCCCCACCCCCACACTCGCCTCAATCTGCCTCCACACGACCACTCATGCCTTAAAGCCCCTCCCTTTGGCTTACCGAGGAGTCGGAGTAGTCAATGAGGTTGTTGCAGTTGAGCCCAGGGTTCATACGGTACAGCTCCGAGGCCGTGAGGCCATACGTGCTCTGCACACTCGCACACGTGTCGCTGCCGCTCAGTGTGTAGTACTCTGTGCACACTGTTGACACTGAGGCTGGGGGAAGCGCTTGGCCCATCTCAACGCATATCTGCAGGGAGTGGGTTGAAGAGAATGAGGGAAGGGGTGGAGTGAGAATGAGTCACACGTGTCGCTGGCGCTCAGCGTGTAATACTCCGTGCACACTGTTGATACTGAGGCTGGGGGAAGGGCCTGACCCATCTCAACGCATATCTGAAGGGAGTGAGAAAGAGAGTGAGAATGGAGGGGACGGGGTAGGGATGAGGCTCACCTGGGGGGAATGGCGCTCCGCGTGTGGTACTCTGTGCATGCTGTTGATACCGAGGTGACTTTTGAGTCTACTCAAAAGTCACCTAAAAACTCCGTGCATGCTGTTGATACCGAGGCTGGGGGGAGGGCCTGGCCCATCTCAACACACCATCTCAACACACCATCTCAACACACCATCTCAACACACCTTAGTTGGAATATAAGCGTATAGCGTATATACGCGTATCGTATATACGCTAGTGTATATACGCTATCCGCTAAGGGTTCGATTTGGAGATACGCTTTTTCGGGCAGGAGAAAAACTTTCCCGGGCAGGGTGAAAAAAACGCCATCCTCAACATCGGGAAGGTATTCCCTGTTCCCACTAAGACTTTCGTAGATTTTTCGTAAGTCTGAACGGCGATTGGGGTGGGATGTGGAGTAGACACTATTGCTTGAAGGAGAAGTACTAGGAATCGGAAGGAACTCTACTGGGAAGCTGGAATGTCGAGTGGAAATGACGAGTAGACTTTTGCTGGCTGGTAAGTAGCATGAGTGGGGTTTGTTGGGGGACGTTTTTGACAGGTTGGAGTCCGTAGATGAGATGGGTTTCAATGCGGTACAAATCGAATGTTCAATTTTGAACTGCCTGCAAACTTCGAAGGCACATTCCCGCTTCTCTATACCGTCGAATTGCATTTCGACTTCGGCGAAATGCTCAGCAGGAAATTCCGCATCTTTCTGTAAACACACGATTTTTTTCCCGGGCAGCCCCTAAAACATTCTGCAAGCGTATAGCGTATTAGCCAGCGTATCGCGTTTTGCGTATACACGCTAGCGTATAAACGCTATACGCTTTAGGGTTTGAGCGTATATTCCAACTAAGCAACACACCATCTCAACACACCATCTCAACACACCATCTCAACACACCATCTCAACACACCATCTCAACACGCCATCTCAACACACCATCTCAACACACCATCTCAACACACCATCTCAACACGCCATCTCACGGAGGCGGAGGAGGGGGCTCAGTCAAGCTCGGCCCTCCTCCTCTCCTCCTCACACGCGCGTGTGAAGTAAAAGCGAGTTGAAGAGTGGAAGAATGGCTACCGTGCAAGAGTGGCGGGATGGCGTGACAATGTGGCTCGGTGTTTGGGTAGGGCAGGGGTAGGTGGGTGATGGTCAGGTGAGGGGGGGGTATGTGAGGAGGGTTATGTGGAAAGGGTTATGTGGGGGAGGGCTATGTGGGTGATCAGGTGGGGAGGGTTATGTGGGGAGGGTTACGTGGGGGAGGGTTATGTGGGGAGGGTTATGTGGGGAGGGAGGCTTACTTGATTGGCTGCACTGGAGATGTTGGAGCAGTCGAGGGAGGGATTGAGGGAGGTGAGATCTGTGATGTTGAACTTGGTGGCTATTGATGCACACGTGTCGTTCTGATGGGGGGGGAGGGGGGAGGGAAGAGAGGGTGTATGAGTTGCCTCGGACCCAAACGGCACTTGGTGCAGTCGAGGGAGGGTGGGACTGAGGGAGGTGAGACTTGTGAGGTTGAACTTGGTTGCAGTGGTTGCACCTTCCCCAGACGAGGGAGGAGAGAGGGAAGAGGGATAAGAGGGGGGAGAGACATGCATTTTGAGTCAGCATCACGCGGAGGGAGTCTAGAGACTTTTGAGTCTAAATTATTTTGAGTCAGCATCAGCATCATGCAGAGGGAGGGAAGGGAAGGGAAGGGAAGGGAAGGGAAGGGAAGAGGCGTACCGGCTGGTTCACGTAGTAACTGATGCACATCTTGACAGCTGTCGCTGACGTCACGTTGACCGTCACTCCCGCCGTCAGGTTGCTGCTGCAGTTGATGGCCTGGTGGTGGGGTGAGGAGTTGGGGGAAAGGGATGAGAAGGGATGAGGAGATGGGATGAGGGGGATGAAAAGAGGGGATGAAGAGAGGGGACGAGAAGAGATGAGGGGAAGAGATGGAGAAATCAAGTGTGTGCAGAGCAATGCGCATGCGCATGTGCATGTGCATGTGTGCACAGCACAGCACACAAGGAGCACCTGCCACGTTCATCACTTGGCATGGGCATGTTGGCACAATCCACTACAAGGAACACCCACAGCATTCATGGTTTGAAAGTCGGTGGTGGTTATGTTGTTGGCATGTGCATGTGCATGTGCGTGTGCATGTGCATGTGCATGTGCGTGTGCATGTGCATGTGCGTGTGCATGGGAATGTGCGTGTGCGTGTGCATGTGCATGTGCATGTGCACGTGCGTGTGCATGGGGATGTGCGTGTGCATGTGCATGTGCATGTGCATGTGCGTGTGCATGTGCATGTGCGTGTGCGTGTGCATGTGCATGTGCATGTGCGTGTGCATGTGCATGTGCTTGTGCAGTGCATGTGCATGTGCTTGTGCTTGTGCAGTGCATGTGCATGTGCATGTGCTTGTGCATGTGCATGTGCATGTGCATGTGCGTGTGCTTGTGCATGTGCATGTGCGTGTGCGTGTGCATGTGCGTGTGCATGTGCGTGTGCGTGTGCATGTGCATGTGCATGTGCTTGTGCAGTGCATGTGCTTGTGCTTGTGCAGTGCATGTGCATGTGCATGTGCATGTGCATGTGCGTGTGCGTGTGCTTGTGCATGTGCATGTGCGTGTGCTTGTGCATGTGCATGTGCATGTGCTTGTGCATGTGCGTGTGCGTGTGCGTGTGCATGTGCATGTGCGTGTGCATGTGCATAACACCCACCGCATTCATGGTTTGGAAGTCGGTGGTGGTGATGTTGTTGGCTGCACAGATGGTGTCGCACGTGTCTCCCGCCTGGATGGTGTATGTGGTCGCCGCGAGGGGCGCTGCATTGGTGGAGAGGGGGGGAAGGGAGGGGAGGTGAAGAGAAGAGAGGTGAAGAGAGGAGGGGAGAGGAGAGGAGAGGAGACAAGCAATGAAGAGAGAGGAGAGAAGACAGTGGTGTCGCACGTGTCGCCCTCCTGGATGGTGTATGTGGTGTGGTGGCCGCGATGGGCGCTGCAATCAGTGGTGAAGAGGGTAGGGGAGGGGAGGGTAGGGGAGGGGAGGGAAGGAGAGGAAAGGGGAGAAGAGGGAGAAGTGGAGGGGAGGAGAGGAGAGGGGAGAAGAGGGAGAAGGAGAGGGGAGGTGGCAGTGCCGTCAGGCCGACCAGTAGAGGTGTAGTTGGCGGGGCACGTGCAGTTGTAGCCACCCACGCCATCGTCCACACACGTGCAGTTGTATCCCCTCCCATGACATCGTCTGCACACGTGCAGTGGTGTTGTGCCCTGTTCTAAGACAACTAGACACTAGACGTACGGGGAATGCAGGTGGCGGTGCCGTCAGGGCGAGCAGTGGAGGTGTAGTTGGCCGGGCACGTGCAGTTATATCCGCCCACGCCATCGTCCACACACGTGCCAGCGCCACACGGGTTCTGCATCTGCAGCATGCACACCGTCTCTGGTGAAGGGGGAGGGGGGAAGGAGGAGAGAGGTGCAGGAGATGAGGGTGAGAGGTCCGGTCTGAAGGCCTTGAACCCCATCGTCCATGCATGTGCCAGCGCCACACGGGTTCTGCATCTGCAGCATGCATACCGTCTCTGGTGTAGGGAAAGGGGTAGCAGGAGGAGAGAGGTGCAGGAGATGCAAGAAGGGTTAGAGATCCGAGATCCGACGATGCAGGTGAACAGCAGGTTCGGACGATGCAGGTGAAAAGCAGGTTCGGACGATGCAGGTGAACACGGGTTTGAGGGTCCGGGGTTACAGGACTACACAGTCTTCAAGACACCTCTCCATCAACACGAGTATTTCTGAGTCGACTAAAAAAGCACCGCTTTTCAAGACAACCCTTCATTATCATCATCAGCACACGAGGCACTTACTAACAATACTTGTCGGTGCCGTCCACATTCACGGCCGGGATGAGGAAGGGTTCGTTGGTGCAGTCGCAATCCGCACATTCCTCTCTCTCAGGCACCCCTCAGGCAACCACACACAGCACTCACTAACGATGCACGTGTCGGTGCCGTCCACGTTGACAGCCGGAATGAGGAAGGGCTCGTTGGTGCAGTCGCAGCTGTAGAACTGCTTCGGCTTCTCCCCCGGCTTGGACGGCTGAGGCGGGTCGGAGCACCTTCCAGCGCCGCAGGGGAAGCCAAGGCACCACTTGCCGGGGACAGCTGGTGGGGAGAACGGGGGGAGTAGGTAGATGGGTAAGGGACACGTGGGGGGGTGGGCCTGAGGGAACAGACAGAGGCGGTCGGAGCACCTGCCTGCGCCGCAGGGAAAGCCAAGGCACCACTTGCCGGGGACGGCTGCAGGCAAAAGGGGAGGGGGGAGGGCAGGGCGGAAGGGGGCGAGACATATGGGACGAAGGGCACAGGCAGAGGGGGGTCGGAGCTCTTGCCGGCACCGCAGGGGAAGCCAAGGCACCACTTGCCGGGGACAGCTGGTGGGGAGAACGGGGGGAGTAGGTAGATGGGTAAGGGACACGTGGGGGGGTGGGCCTGAGGGCACAGTCAGAGGTGGGTCGGAGCTCTTGCCGGCACCGCAGGGGAAGCCAAGGCACCACTTGCCGGGGATAGCTGAAGCCAAGGAGGGGGGAGGGCAGGGCGGAAGGGGGGGAGACATTTGGGACTAAAGGGAACAGACAGAGGCGGGTCGGAGCACTTGCCAGCGCCGCAGGGGAAGCCAAGGCACCACTTGACGCACCATGGTGAAATCAAATCAAATCATCACTCACCAGGCAGCAAGGGGTAGTAGCCCGGTTCGCTCCACATGCCGCAGTAGCCAAAGGGAGAGCGGTCCAAGCCAATCCTCATGTGCCCGTTGTCGCCCCACGTGGTGCCCCAGCTGTTGCGCAGAATGAAGTAGCTGCCCGCCTTGCCCTGCTCCTCCAGGTGATACCCCACCAGCACCACCACATGGTTCACCATCCGGTTGGCAAAGCACGTCTTATCCTCCAGAATGCTCGTCTGAAGGAGGGGGAGGAGGGGGAGGGGAATTGTTGAGGCGTCTCTAAAGAGCTGGCCCTGGTCCTCCAGGTGATACCCCATCAGCACCACCACATGGTTCACCATTCGGTTGGCAAAGCACGTCTTATCCGTCAGGATATTCGTCTGGAAGAAAAGGGTGATGGAGGGGAGAGTGGGGGGGTGGAGGGGGGAAGGGGAGAGTGGGGGGGTGGAGGGGGGAAGGGGAGCTCTGGATTGCCCTCACGTGCAAAGCGGTGGGCTGGAACTGCAGACCCAGCTAGTGCAGAAGCACACAACAACTCACCCTACCGCTTCCCACCACTTCCCACCCCACTCCACCGCATCCCACCCACCCCGTTGTAGTTGAGGAAGCAGTCCTGGTCGGCCTCCACGTGCACGACGACGGGTTGGAACTGCAGCGCCAGGATGAGCCCGATGGGGCCCAGCAGACTCGCCCGCTCGTAGAACCTCACCATCGCCACTCCTGGGCTCGCCTGGATCTGTGCGGTGGGAGCGGTCGAGAAGGGTGGGGAGGGGTAAGAAGAGGATCAGAGGGAGTTCGAGCAGCCGGTTTGGCATAATCGCACGCCCGTGGAACTGCAGTGCTGCCATACTGGGAATAGCCGGGATCTGAGGGGCTGGTGGAAGATCCAGGGTGAAGAGGTAAACTAAGAGGAAATGAAAAAAGGTTTGAACCAGGCAAACCCCGGATTATTTGAAGGATGAAATGAAATAATGAAATGCTAGAATGAAATAAAAGGATGTAGTGAAAAGTATTAATTAACTTACAATGATCGTGCTAGACAAAATTCGCAATGAAAGGTGAAATGAAGATTTCTTACCTACTCAGTCCCTACTAGCCTATAGCTCAGCCTAGAGAAGATTAGGACGAGTTACCTGCTGGATCCAGGTCGAAACTATCTCCGTATGAAAGCCGGATGTGCGTGTTGCATGATCGCGCGCGTCGTTCACTTACGATGCTCTTGTTACACGTGGTGCTGTCATTCGCCATGTACGGATACGCCGCGGCGGACACGAGCGGATTCGCGATGGCGTATTCAAACGCGTCAGTCGTGAACCCGCCGTCGCAGTCGTCTACTCCGCAGGTCAGCATCTGCTGCACCGAAACGCGGTTCGGCGGCTGGATGCGGTAACCCAGTAACGCGCCGTCGATCGCCGACGCTGCTGCGAACGCCCAGCAGGAACCTGAGGCGGGGAGGGGGGGGCCGGGGGCGACGGGGCGGGGAGAGGAGGTTGGAGGAGACATTCGCGGGGCGGTGAGGGGGATGGTGTTGGACAGGGGAGAATGGTGGAGTAAGGGATAAGGAAGCTAAGAAGCAAAAAGGCAGAGAATTTAGGCTCAGTGACGACGCGAGCAGCGGCAATCACTGACTATTGCACACACACCAAAGCCGGCACTCACTACCAGAACGAGCAGCAGCGCTCACTGCACCGATACACATCAGCGCAGCCACTCACTGCAGAGGCTGGGCGAGTCCTGATCCACAACAGCCGTGAGGTTGCCGCGCCAGTCGACGTTGCTGTGCTCCTTGAACGCCCAATTGGCCGTGTTGTTGGATCGCTCGATTTTCAGCGACACGGACGCGTAGTGGAACCACTTGTTCAGCATGGGCCGCGAGTCGTTGCGCGGGATGGGCAGCCCTCCCAGGGAACGGTCGCCGATGCGCGCTAAGGTGGGGGAACGGGGGGAGTAGGGGGGAGTGGGGTGGATGGGGAAAAAGGGGTACGTGTTCAGTCAATAGTGTCGCGGATCGGACACCACGTGTTCAGCATCAGCCGCGAGTTGTTGCGCGGGCATCCCAGGGAGCGATCGCCGACGTGCGCTGAGGCGGGGGGAAGTGAGGGGACGGGGCGGGGGATAGCGGGTTGAATGGAGGGGGAACGGGGATTTTGGAGCAGCGGAGGGGGGTCGTTGCGCGGGATGGAGGCAGGCCTTTCAGCAGGGAGGGGAAGATAGCTGGCGCGAGCTGACGTGGAGGGAAGAGGGAAGGGGAAGGGCGACGGTAAAGGCAAAAGAATGAGTTGAAGGCAGGAGAAAAGCGAGATGGTACACTGTAGAGAGCCGCAGCTATAGCGAGGCGCAGCTATAGCGAGGCGCAGCTGAAACGAGGCGCAGCTGTAACGAGGCGCAGCTGTAGCGAGGCATACTTCCTGCATCCCGAATCCTAGAGAGAAGGGCAGCGCCTTTCCGCGGGACGGAACAGCGCCTCACGCGCGGGTCGCAACTCACTAGGGAAGTAGCTCGGCGGGGCCGTCGGATCGCTGGATGGCCCTCCCGCTCCCCCTCCTCCCCCACCAGTAACATTCCCGCCGCCACTAGCGCCACCTCCTCCCCCTCCAGTAACATTCCCGCCGCCACTAGCGCCACCTCCTCCCCCTCCAGTAACATTCCCGCCGCCGCTAGCGCCACCTCCCCCCCCCTCAGTACCATTCCCGCCGCCACTAGCGCCACCTCCCCCGCCCCCAGTAACATTCCCACCGCCACTAGCGCCACCGCCACCGCCGCTAGGATCACCGGACCCAGCTCCCCCGCTTCCGCCCTCGCCGCCCGCTCCGCCCCCTCCGCCCCCGGTCTGCGCGGGGGCGGCGCTGGCGGTGACGTTGAAGCCGAGGAGCGTGTGCGCGGAGTAGTACTTTGCGCCCGTGCTCGAGCTGAACCCCATGTACAGCGGCGTGTCACTGTTGGGGTCGTTTTGCGAAGCTTTAAAAAGTGCGCACGGGTCAAAGTTTGTAACGAAGGTGTTCTTAGCGGGGCGATTCTTGGCGGTGTTGAAGAAGACGGTGAGTTGTTTCGTGCCGGGGCTGTAGTCGATCCAAACGTATTTGATTTTCGCGTCGCTGAGCGCGGGGATGGCTGCCTTGCTGGCGGTCACTGATTTGACGGACGCGTTTAGGTTGAACCCGATGTGCGGCGTAGCCTTGTCCCATGTGTCTCTGAAAATACAAAAAATAGTGGAAGAAGCGGGAGTTAATGAAAAAAAATATAATAATTCCCAAAACCAGCAAAGACTCCACTTGAAAAGCACATCGAAACCGTTTCAACGCTAAGCGCGGCACTTACTTAAACGTGTCGAACTCCACCGCGAAGCTCGGCGAGTCGCCCGTCTCGCCCCACCCGAGGAACCCGCTGTCGCTGCCCGCCTCCCACGCCGCGTTCGCCGTCACGAAGAACGTCACCCCTTGCCCCGCCTTCGACGCGCCGTTCTTCGCGGACGCTACCGCGAACGCGAACGACGCCGAAAACGCCAGCGGAGCGCAGCCGCCGCCGGCGGAGGAGGCGCGGTCGGTGAGGACAATGGCAGACGGGTTGAGCGCTCCGCCCGCCAGAAGCGCGGCGTCGCTGGTGAGGGTGACGGCGGGGCAAGCCTTGTAGGTCGCACTGAGCGCATCGCCGGAGAGCGCGAAGTCGGAGAGGGAGTCCGCGAACGAGCAGTCTGCGGCGCCGCGAGGGAATGCGCGGGGGGAGGGGGAGGAGCGGGGGAAGAGTGGGGAAAACGAGGGGGAAACGAGGAAAGGGGAGGACGGGGAGGGAAATCGGAAACTGTAATTTCATACGACTCTGGTTGCGTAGGCCGTGTAGGTGGTAGCTTGAGCGACGGATGGAAAGGGACACGCGCGGCGCGAGGAAGGGAGAGAGAGGGAGAGGTGGTGAGGGGATCGGCAGTGACTGCCGACGCCAACGACGGAGAGGCTGACGCCGGCGGTGCAGACCGTTGAGATTCCTACCGTTACTAATAGCGGTCAGCGTCAGACTTAGATAGACAGTCGGCAAGCCCGCAGTACACAAACCTTAGGAGGCTTTATGACTTGTGCTAACACGCGCCTTTCGACGTTTTGGGTCCAGCGGCGGACCTGCGAGAGCAACGACGCCGCGCATTCTGGCCCCGCAATGCGCAGTTCCCAGCACACGCGCGACGCGTTTGTTTTTCCGACCATGCGCATTTGCGATTCTCGTCCTGCCTCTGCCCGTGACTCTCCCTTGCAATCAAGCGGTGCGGAAAAGTATATCCACTAACCAGGTGGTGGGGGAGGCGGCGGGGACGGCGGGGGAGGCGGGGGCGGCGTGGACGGGGGCGGCGAACGAGGAGTTTTCTTCGTTTTTCTCCCAGCAGATGCGCCGTGCAACGCGGATATGCACAGGAGAGCCAGAGGTAGAAGCAGAGCTATCCGCAAATTTTGGCGACGCGAAGGTCTCCGCTGCTGCGATATGCCCCTCCGCTGCCATTGCGACGAGCGAACGCCACTCGAGGTGCCGTGTAAGCCGCCACATTGGTTTGATTGTAACATGCTGGCTGTGATGTCGTCACGATGCGCGACGGCTTGCAGTCCACACAAACCAAGGAAACGACAATAAGAGTGTCGCGAGTTGGAGGGGCCTCCTTTGCGACACCGTGCAAGCAGGCGGCTATCAAGGAGCACTAGCGACAGTCTGTTTCCGTTTCGAGCACGCTGATTCTAACGAGACTCCAAAGCGTCGATCCTGTAGTATGAGGAGCGACCGAAGATGAGGTGGGACGAGGGAGGATGAGGTTGCAAGGAAGAGGTTGCAAGGAAGCCCCAAAGCCAACCAGCCAACACTGACGGGAGTGGTGGTGAAGGTCACTCACTTTCTAGTGTGATGGGGAAGAAAAACGAAGACTTGCCCTATTCAAGAGGAAAATGATTCAGTTTAGGTCTATTTTAGCTGGACCAGGTGATACTGTAAAGGCAGCAAGCAGGAACGAGGAGGAAGGGGCACGCTGTGGGGCATATATTTCCGCTGGAATGCGCATGGGGAGGCTAGGGCGTGTAAAGTTTTTCCGAACCGCGGTCCGGACTTGGGATGGTCCGGACGGCGGACGTGGTTACTGTTTTGGCACTATTCGTATGTTTTTTCGCGAGGCGGAATGTGACACTTTTTGACATTTCTGGCAGATATTTCCGTACGTTCGGCGTCCGGTTGCAATTCGGACCGTCCCATTTTGGTGCGCTTTCATTGGAGCGCGAATTCAGAAATCACGTCTCGTAACAGGTCGTTATCATGTCGTGTACAGTTCGCGTTTTTGCAACATAAAAGTTCTACAATAAAGGTCCGTACGGGACTCCGTCCGGACAAATGTCCAAAACGTTCCGAACCGACGCTGTCGGTACGGTTTGACAAGCTTGTCCGGACGTTTGACGGTTCGGAAAACAGTTACACGCCCTTATAGCTGGTGAATCGGACAAAATGCCCTTTTGAGCTCTGTTCTGGTTCTGGTGAGATCCCAGCCCAGTGCAACTTCACGACACAAACTGGACACCAGTTCTGCCCGTGACCCGGATGGAAAATTGAACTGCCTTTGAGAAGCAAGTGGGCGGAGTTCCTCAACTTGGTCGAGCGGCATCTCCGCCCTACCTGAGGGGGATTCCCTGGCGCAGGTTTGGGTGGCTACGTTTCGATTTCGACAAGCTCGACGGGGTTTTTTCGTGCCTTTTTTTCCATATTTTGAACTTTATCACGCACCCTAACAAAACAAATAATGAATCCTCTACAGTATTCCCAGATTCGTGTTTGATTTGAACTCAAATGTCAGGGCTCAGGGAATGGCCCGAGGCGCAGGGGCTTGTTGCCTTACCGTGGCCGTCAACCACGCTGCGCTGCGCCACCTCCGTCCTCCCTCCCGTTTAGCGCAAATCGTCGCACGCAGATGACGGAGAGGAAGGGCACCAAGTCAGTCCCCACCACTTCAGCTTGCCGCCAAGAGTCCTGCCGCGGACAATGCACCTGAACCAAGGTTGGGTCGGCACGTTCACCAAGGTAGCCGGTAAATTACAAACTGAATTCATGGGCATGAATATTTGAATCTCAATCCGAGCAAGACACTCTCGGCAAAATATTGCAAGGAAGCAGCTGCACTTACTTCTGACACCCAAGTGTTCATCCAGCGGTTGCCATAAAAGAATGTAGAAATTTCGGTTGTAAACCACCCTTTGAAAAATCTCGATGACTGAGAAAATTGCTGACTTTCGGCCGACCTGTGGACATGCATCTGTGGTGTTTTTTTTCCTGAACTCGTTTCTGTATATATTACTGGTTCATTCATTGCTCCCTCGTCCAGTGTTCTGTATAAACGTAGATGTAGTGTAAACATTTCCCTCATTGGGTCAAACTTTGGATGACAACAGATCATAATGGATCGTAAAGGTGAGAAAAATGCTACTACCAGTATTCATTGCAACAGTGGCCATTACTAGGAGTACATTCCTGGCACGCGTCACAAAAATACAAGATACATTGCGGCGCAAATATTTCATTTCTAGATGTAAGCTGCAGAGCGGCACGATGATTTTGTGACGCCTCCGTTTGCGACATCTCTCACTCACCACGAATGTACCCTAAGATACACACCCTTCGTTTCCTTCACCTAAACTGGGAAGCCAGTGGTGGGGTTCACCTGAGAGCCCTCCAGTGACCGTGACACAATGTGGGGGCCGGGGCCTGGGCGGGTGAGCAGAATGTACTTGAGGGGCGGGGAGGAGCTGTCTAAGGCTGCATTTGCTTCTGATGGTGGCGATTGTTGTGTTGGTGGCGGTTGTGCGTGGGGAAGGGCCTCCATGGAGACAAGAGAGGTGTCGCCGGTAAGGAAGCTGCTCATAGGGAGAGCCAGTGAGGGGAGCGGTTGGAGTGGTGAGCGAGATGGGTGGGTGGGATGAGGAGTGGTGTGAGATGGATGGGTGGGGCAAGCGGGCGTGAGAGGGGTGGGACGTGGTTCCTGGGATGAACTGAACCGACAGCATTCATGTATGGATGAGGATGGAACAAGAGAGAATACTCGGTCAGGTAAAGAAGGGATAGTTGGAGAGGGTAGTGATTCCAGGTGGGGGGATAGGTAGCTGGAGGGGGGAGTGGTGGCGGGTGGAGTGCGTCTATGCTTGAGGTGAGGGGGGAATACCTGGAGAGGGGGGTGCTGTCAGGTGGTGGGAAGCGGTGCAGAAAGGCGGAGAGGAATTCTGTAGCGTTGTGGCGCTGGACAAACATGACTGCGTTGGGACCGGCATCGAACGTGTATGCTGCCTGGCGTGGGGGAGATGGGGAGAAGGGGAAGGGGGAGAGGGAGAAGAGAGGGAGGAGAGTGATGCTACGGAGCAGCTGTGGACAAACATGTATGCCGCCTGGTGCGGGGGAGAGGGGAGAGGAGGAGCAAAGACGAGGCATGGTGAGACGGGTGGTTCACAGACATGAATGTTCAGGAATTGATTAGCTATGCTGCCTGGTGTGGCGTGATGGGTGGAGAGGCGGAGTGAGAGAGTTGGGTTTGTAGGAGGAGCAGCGTCACAGTGTGAATAAAAGCAAGCAGCACTTGGCCCCCTGCACCCAACGTCTACCGCCCTGCACCCCCCTGTACCCTCCCTTACCACTTCACTTCATTCACCCTGCAATCCCTTGCAACCCCCTGCACCCCCCTGCATGCACCCTCGGTTGCTCTCCCTGGGCGTTGAACTCCTCCATGAAGCCAATCAGGTACGCATTGAACTTGGGTGTTGCCGGCACTCGCCCAATTCGCTCACCTTTACCCCTCCACCCCCTCGCACCGTACCTCATTGACCCCCTTGCACCCCCGTGCACCCCCAAGAACTTACCCGCGGTTGCTCCCCCTGTGCATTGAACTCCTCCACGAAGCCAATCACGAGGCGCGACGTGGCGTTGAGATAGAAGATGGCATGTGCACGCATTCACTCACTCTTGCCACTTACTCGCCCTTTCCCCACTGCACCCATCTGCACCCCTTTGTACGCACCCTCGGCTGTTCTTCCTGGGCATTGAACTCCTCCACAAAGCCAATCACGCGGCGCGACGTGGCATTGAGATAAAAGATGGGCGGCGCTGTGTCGAGACACGTGGCATGGAACTGGTTGCTGTCGGCGCAGGTCAGGCGAGAAAAGGCAGGGAAGTCCCGGGCTGCTATGGCTGCCTCCATTGCTGTGATTCGCTCCAGTACCACGTGCTGGGGGGAGGGAGGGAAGGAGGGCGGGGGGGAGGAAGGGGAGAGAGGATGAAAGAATGAAGGCAAGCGCGTGGAGCTAGTTGCTGTCCGCGCAGGTCAGGCGGGCAAATGCTACAAACTCCCAGGCTGCAATGGCTGCCTCCGTTTCTGTGATGCACTCAGCAACACTCGGACCAAACACGAGCGCTCGTCACGCGGGGCCTCCTGCTTTCATCCCCCCCCCACCAATGCTCTTCATCCCCCACCCCACCCCCACCACCCGCCCTTTACCATCCGCCCCCACCCGTGTTCTCCAAGTGTCCTCCCTACCTCAGCTCGCAACTGCAGCAGCTTGGAGGTCGGGGTGGACCGTTCCATGCCCTCCGCATCCCACCCAAGTTGCCCTCACCCTTGCTCGTCAACTGCTCCCACCCACCCGTGCTCTTCATTTGCCCCTCACCTCAGCGCGCAGCTGCAGCAGCTTGGAGGTCTGGGCGGACCGTTTCATGCCCTCGCTGCTGCCAATGTCCTTCTCCCTCTCCTCCACCTGTACATGTGGGGACAGGCAGGGGGGAGAGGGGCCATGGTAAAGGGAAGTGAGGAAGGGGAAGGGGGAATGGGCCCTCAGCTGAGGTCTGGGCGGACCGTTTCATGCCCTCGCTGCTGCCAATGTCTTTCTCCCTCTCCTCCACCTGTACACGCGGGAACAGCGGGAGGGGGTTTAGGGGAGGCGGAAGGGGGAAGGGGGGAAGGAAAAGGGGGAATGGGGAAAGGGGAAGGGGGAAGGGGGAAGGGGGAAGATCAGGGCAACAGCTGAGCGCAGAGGCAGAGCATCAAAGTGCGACAAAGTGGAAAGCAAAGCGCAGGAGAGGACCGTAGAGCACATCGGCCCTACCATTCCACCACCACCTGCACAGTGGTGCACACTCTCCCTCTCACCACACCAATAATAATCTCCAGGTCGCTCCAGTGGTCAATGGTCCTCTGCCTTGAGAGCACTCTCCGCCTTTTCGAGCCGACTCCGAGCCCTTTTTCGAGTAAACTCAATACATTTTCAAGTCGACTCAAAACAGACAGACATGCCCTCCCCGTCAACCGCCCTTCCCCCCTCCACCAAGCGTGTGCCCTTCCTCCCACCACAGCATTGATAATGACCAGATCGCTCCAGTGGTCCTCTGCCTTGATGTGTTTCGATTTGTCGCAACTATCACACCCCTAAGTGGCATCCCTGTTCCCTCCCCCAAGTGTGTGCCCTCCCGCTCACCACTGCAATGATGATGACGAGATCGCTCCAGTGGTCCTCTGCCTTCACTTGCCGCGCCATGCTGTCGCTCCCGTCTTCTAGCTGGCGGTGGGAGAGGAGAGGAGACGCACACACACGAGGCATGGGGCATGAGGCACAATGGAATCGAAAGAGATGCTGATTGCCAGGTGTTCTACACGTTTGCACTTTTGAGAGCTCGCAAAAGTGAGCCTGGCATTAGAATGACTTAACGCAATGCCAGCTCCTCTAAATTAATCCAACACAGTGCAAGATATTCTGAACTATTTCACCACTATGAGCCAACTCTGGTTTGGGAGCGACCATGGCTGCAGGTGGCGATACGTGTGAAACGGGAATGGAGGAAACGAGGGAGGGGGAGGCAGGGGATGGAATAAGAGAGATCAGGGGGAGCAGAGGAAGGAGGCGGAGTATGTGGTGTGGTGAGGTCAAGCAAACGGCATGCTTTCATCATCACACCCAGAGACAGTTTCACCTCACCTCGCCCTCATCATCCCATCTCCCATGATCGTCTCACCTCGCCCTTGTCCCAGGTGACGAATCCGCCGTACAGGCTCCTGCAAGCACTGCCTGATCCCATCCTGGTGGCATTTGGAGGAGGGAGGACGGGGAGGGGGACGGGAGGAACAGGAAGGTGGGGGCAATGGCGTTCACATAAGGTATGAGCCAATCATACAATGTGTGCAATGCATGAGAAAGTGAGTTTAGGCACACGTGCCCTGCGATCGGCCATGAGCAGATTTGTTTACAAGGTGCTTAAAACACACGAGCAGCATTTGCTTTAACGAGGCCTCCTTTCCACCAAGTGGCACTCTAACGAGGCCTATGATAAACTGAGTGCCAATGCTTTTCCTGTCAGCCCGTCAATGCTCCTGCCGTACCTGCCATGACTCCTGCCATACCTGCCATGGCTCCTGCCGTACCTGCCATGGCTCCTGCCGTACCTGGCAACTCATCTGCCGTACCTGGCAACTCATCTGCCGTACCTGGCAACTCATCTGCCGTACCTGGCAACTCATCTGCCGTACCTGGCAATGGCTGAGAGCTCGCCCGGGTATGCCTCCTTCACTCCCATGAGCTCTGCCAGCGCGAACACTGTGAGGCACGCGTGCACACACAGGCAGGCACGCAGGATGGCACACGGGGCACAACCGCACAGGGCATGGAGCATGGGGCAGGCACAAGGGATGTAAGGGCGGAGCAAATGAGGGCAGCATGGCATGGCAAGAAAGGGCCGACCACGGAGCAATGCTTTCGCAAGTGGGGTGGGGCGCATCCAAAGGACAGGACACAGCATGCATGCATGCATGCCAAATTCCTCTCCCCAAATCTCTCTCCCCAGACTCCCCTTCACTCTCAAATCCCTCCCCACATCTCAAAACCCACTCTTCTTCAAAGTTCAAACGCCAACTTCCCAATCCAATCCCAGCATCCCAATCCCGCGATCCCAAAACCCCATCCCCAAACCCCGACCCCCAAACAATTTCTTAACCCTGTCCTGTAAGCTCCAACATTCAGCTTTTTATTAACAATAGAAACTGCAACCACGTCATGCCTACCGCCACTGATAAGTGGTGCTCCAATTCCCGTATGTATCCCAAACTCCCAACCCAAAACCCGGAACCCCAACCTCCAAACCCTACTCCATCAACTTTGTCCCACCTAGCAGCAGAATTGGCGACAACAGCGGCAGCAGCAATAGGAGGAAGGGAGGAAAGGAGGAAGAAACAAGAGACTCACCGAGGCACGCGAAGCCAGCAGCGGAGGAGGCGAGGCCAGCAGCGGTGGGGAAGTTGTTAGCCGACACCACGTGCACTCGCAGCTGCTGCCACTGCCCCGCTCCTATCTCCACCTCCCGCTGCTCTCCCTCTCCCTGCTCGCTCTGCTGCGTGGCGTGCGGCACGGGCAGGCGCCAGTGCGTGGAGGAGGCGCGTGCACGCAGAGCAGCCAGGCAGTTGCCGTAGCGGTGGCTGCTCATCGCCACCTCCTGATAGCACAGTGAGTGGGGGGGGGGGGGGGCAGTGGGGGAATCGGGGAGTAGAAGTGGGCAGGCGCCAGTGCGTGGTGGAGGCACGTGCGCGCAAAGCAGCCAGGCAGTTGCCGTAGCGGTGGCTGCTCATCGCCACCTCCTGATGCCGTGGGGAGTGGGAAGGGGGGAGTGGGAAGGGGGGAGTGAGTGGGGAACTGCTGAGTTTCGAGTCACTCAACAGTCGTCACCTTGTTTTGGGTCGATTGCAGGAAGTCAAAAGTACTGGCAATGCAATGCAATGCAATGCACATTGCACTGGAATGCGTGTTGTTGCGTGGCGACAGGTGTGCTGCAACGTTCAGATGGGGTGTCGCGTGCAGCGTTCACTTCACTTCACTCCATGTGGTCACCACACCACCACCACACCAGCCACATTGTCAGTTGCGTTATCAGGTGTGCTACAGCATCAAACTACTAGGTACGACCTGCATTGGAACGCACCTCGCCATTATCAGGTACGACCTGCACGGGAACGCACCTTGCCATTACCAGGTACGACCTGCACCAGAACGCACCTTGCCATTACCAGGTACGACCTGCACCAGAACGCACCTTGCCGTTGAGCCAGAGGCGGTCCGCAGTGAACGACGGGCTGACGGCGACGGTGGTTTCGGCGGCTAGCTGGTCCACGTGGAGCGTCACGCTCACGCTGCCGTTAAGCGGCAGCACGCGCGCCTCGTCGCGCTTCCCCCAGTACTTAATCACCGCGATGTTGCTCGGCGCGCGCGCCGTCACTCCCACCACCCACGGCGCCGCCTCGTACGGCGCTTCGGTGGACGACGACATGGCGCTGCTGGTGCTGGTGGCGCTCTCGAATAAGCCACGCGGGCTACAGTAACAGCTGAGGACTCGCTGTAGTCACGTCTTGCGAATCACGCAGTCACGGCTGTGTTGCAAACAAAGAAAAAGGGAACTCGAAGCCTGCGAATGGACCTAAGCGTCGGAGTGTAGTGATGGAATGCTGCGACAATGCCGAACAATAATAATGAGACGTTATGCAACGGGGTATCGGAGACCAGTAGAATGGCTTGTAGGGATGGTCGGCTCAGATTGCAGTTGCTTGTCTGGCCAAAGATAACAAGCAGCGGTTGTGCCGATAAAAAATGCGTGACGAATTAATCCTTCCTACGCAGCCAAGAGCTTCTACTAGAAACAGCGCGAGATGCGACTGAAGGTAGCTCGACCAGAAAAACGGAGCTCTCAACTGAAGGAAGTTGAATTCGTTTTCAGTTCTCTTGGAGAATTGAGCAGGAGAATTAGTTAGAAATGACAACGACGGTGCGACGAGCCTGGATTATTCTCGTCCTCATCGACGCACTACGCGCGCCAGATCTCGCCCGGTCCACATGGTTCAGCGCAGCGAAGCCGCGCATGTTACGCGGTGGGAACCGGCAAGCTAGGAAACAGCAACAGCTACAAACAACAGCCGCAACAGCTATCAACGGTCATCTCCTCACGTCACCGACGATTGTACCTAGGGAATTCACTGGCTGGTCGTGGAATGGTGGCGACGAGAAAATGGGAGAAAATGCTCTGACTGGCGGCTTCAAACACTGTAACGAAATCGACCGACGAAAGTAACCCGACCCGACCGCGGCGAGGTGTCGAGTGGAGTGGAGTTTGTGCAGTTTCGGTAGCGCTGTTCCCTCCCTCGCACCGAACGGAAGCCAACCGAATCGCCACACATGAGCATACGGCTACAGTAACCGGGTAGAATGCGCTAAGGGGTGTCCCTGTGATTTCTCCCAAGAGAAAACATGATTGATTAACCGGATACACATATAGACTACCCTTGGCCCTAAAGCTTCATAAGTTCTGGGCGAGTGATGCATAAACATTTGCCAAACTTGCCTTGCCTGAGTAAAATGTTCACAGCCACACGTCATGAGCACTGTTGTTGACGGGGATTCGGCAAATGTAGCGAGATTCTTCAGTCCCATGTATTGGAAGCACGTTCGATTCTGGCATCATAACAATGAATACCGGTACCAAAAAGCGGGAGATGGGAGAGACCATTTGTGAAAGGCACCAACACAAAAAATATTATAGTATTTACACAAAAATAAGCAAACACCATGAATCTAAACTTGCTTATGCTAATTTGACTCCTTAAGAGGGTTCTCCTAGCTACTCTGTCTTGAGGGTTTTCTTGCTCCCTCTGGGTCTTGGTGCTCGGATGAAGTTGCCTGCTAAGATGAGCACCACGGGCACTATTGTGCCGTAGTAATAGAGCCCTCTGTACGCCTGTACTGTGTGCTGCAGGGTCATCACCTGCCAGAAGGAGCATCAGGGGAGTGGGGGGGAGGGAACTCGTTAACAATGAAAGACATGGGCATGTGAATGCAAATGATGGAGAGAGAAGGGCAGGAGCGATGCGCAAGGAGGCAAACACGAATGCGGTGCTCCAATGCAGCAAGTGCTGACGACACTCAACACAAACCCACGTAGATGCAAGTGCTGGTTTATCATGCGTCCCAAGACGCAAGATCATACACTGACGCAGAAGCCAGCGTGGTTGATGCACGTAGAGGAGATAATATTTCTATGCATCTCAAAAACTGCCTCATGTTGATTCAAGCACTCACACTGAAGCCAAAGCCAGCGTAATTGATGCAGAGCAGCACGTAGAGGAAGTGCAGCAGCGAGGCAGCACGGCGCCGCAGCGAGCCCTGGGCGAGCGGGCGAGACCATCGGTAGATGACGCGAGAGCCCGCTATCATAAGCGCCCAGTGCGCAAAGCCTATGAGGTCCCCTGGGTTCAGACCCTGAGCAGGGAGAGAAGGGGGGAAAAGAGAGAAAAGGGTGAGATTCGATCGATCCCTTCACTTGGTTTTAGAGGCTGAGAAAATAATTAGGAGAGAGTTTTTTTCTAGAGTCTTATAAGGAGCACTGGCACAGCGGCTGTGCCTAGAGCCAGAGCATAGCAGTGAGGAAATGTGGGAGGGGTGTTGGAGGAAAGTGAGCAGGTTGAAGAGTGCACTCTTCATCTTTTGAGGAGCCTCAGAAATCACCCACATGACACGAGTGTTGAGGGAGAGGGGACTCATGTGTGAGATGGCATCACGGCACTCACATGCGAGATGGCGCTGATGAAGAATGTGAAGAGCAGGTTGAAAAGCGCGCTCTTTTTTGGCATCGCCTCCAGCCGCTCGTACACGTCTGTGAGGGGAGCGGTGTAGGGAGGGGGGAGGGGGGATGGGAATAGGAGCAGTGAGGACAACTGAGGGATAGCGCAAATATGGAGGACGATGAGAGACGATGGGAGTCATGGCACGGGTGAAGAGGTGTGTGCAGCATCGATGTTGAATGGCGCAGACGAGGATGGCAGCCCATGGGCCCAAAGATGATCATCAAGTCGGCTAAAATACGAGCCCTAACTGCAGGCGGCAGCACTGGTCTGGAGATTTGCAGATTCTGAAGGAGATGTTCCAGTTCTTCTGAGAATTCCCAAAGTGACAAAATAAACTAAAATACTCAAAAGTAACTTACAGATGCGCAGCCACGTGCTGAAGGAGATGTTCCAGTTCTTTGCCACGTCAGCGCCCGTGCTCGCGAGCTCCATGCCGAGGATATTCACGTTGCGCGCCCTATCCCACGACGCCACCTGTCGCTCGCCACCTGCCGCCGCCACCTGCCGTTCCGCACGTGAACACGCAGGGGCGTCATCAGCATCAGTGCGAGTGGCGGCAGCAGCAGCAGTAGCAGTAGCAGGAGCTGGAGAAGCAGTGGCGGTAGCAGGAGCAGGCGCAGTAACAGGAGTGGGAGCAGCAGGAGGGATGGCAGCGAGTGCTCTCTTCCTCTCTCCACTTACTGCAGAGCCCTTCACTCCAGCCATTGCTGGGCTGCCTCCCTGCTTGTTCACCAGCTCTCCCATCATCACCCGCCCTCCATCTGCTCCTGCTGCTGCGGCCGCCTGTCCTGTGCTGACAGTCGTCCCACCATTTCTTTCCGTGTGGTTCTCCTTCCCTTCATGCTCGTCTGCACCGCCTTCCGCTGTAGCAGCCGGGGCAGCAGTGGCAGCAGCAGGTGCAGCAGCAGCAGCAGCAGCAGGTGCAGCAGCAGCAGCAGGTGCAGCAGCAGCAGCAGGTGCCGCAGAAGCAGCAGGTGCAGCAGCAGCAGCAGCAGCAGGTGGAGCAACAGCAGCAGCAGCAGCACCAGCAGCAGCAGTAGCACCAGGCTTAGTGACCCAACCGGAGAATCCCAACCCGCCCGACACCATAGCAGCCTCGGCAATCGACCAAACAATGTAGCAGCGCCAGCGCGTGACGAGCGTGGCATGGAACACGAGCAGCAGGCGCCGCAGGAAGGGCAGCGCGAAGAAGCGTGTGGGGTCGGTGGCGAGGGAGAGATCGAGGTGGGGGAAGATGAGGAGGAAAACGGCTGCTGCTAGCGCCCCTTGGAGGAGCACGCGGAGGAAGGGCGGGATGGGGGAGGGTGCGCGGACTGCGGGGGACCACACCTGATGAGGGGAGGGAGAGGGAAGGGGCGGGGAGTGAAAGAAAGTGGGTGGGTGGAAGAGAGGGAGAAGGAGAGAGTGAGGGTCGGAGTGAGTGGGAAAGAAGCGTGTGGGGTCGGTGGCGAGGGAAAGGTCGAGGTGATGAGCGATGAGGCTAATGTGCCTTGCAGGAGCACAAGGAGGAAGGGCGTGATAGGCGAGGGGGAGCGGACCGAGGGGGACCCCACCTGGGGGAAGGACAGGGGGGAAATGGGAGATAGGGGGAATGGGTGGGATGAGGAATGGAGAAGGGTGAGGGGGGGAAGGAATTGGAAGATTGCATCAGTGTCATTTCTGTTTCTGTTGCCGTTGCTGCCCCATCTATATGTACCTGCTGTACCTGCTGTGGCATTATTACAAAGGACCGTTCGGGAGGAGGAAATGAGTCTCACTCCATACCCTAGACCCGAAACCCTTGTTGGTAAGCCAATGCCTACATGCTGAGCCATCATCCCGCTTATGGAGGTATTCGTGAATAAAGAACTCATTCACGGCCGCGCCCAACTCATTGATTACCTCCCGGTCTTGAACCTCGGAATTAGGGTTCATGCTATACCCTATTTGATGGTGCAGTGCAGCCATTCTTTACTTGTTTATGCACTCACAACTCATCAGTGAGCCCAATCGACACATACGAGTTAACAATTATCCCATTAGGGTTTCTTGGTCCCCACTGCTTGCTTACTCATCGCTTACCTCCCACCACAACTTTCCAGGTTTCCGGTTCCTCACTACCCACTCCTAATAACACTAGGGTTCCGAGTGGTTCCATGCGGTTCCATGCCACGCACTCACCCCGCGTCGGTGCGTCCAGTCGTCGTAGGATTGATAGTCGAACCACGGCCCCAGCAGATGCTGACCGCAGCAGAACAGATACCCCAAAAACTCCTCTGCTGATGGCATCTCTCTAATCACTCTCGCCCGCTTCTCCGCCTTTCTCCGATCGTCGCCCGACGGTTGCTCGCTCTCGGGTTTCTCGCCGTCTTTAGCGCGCTTCGCGTCGTCCTTTAGGGCTTTAAGGCCGTCTTGGTAGTCCATGGCGAGTGACGTCAGCTTGATCGCCACGATCGTAAGGGTTCCCGTGAAGTCCACGCGGCCCGTTCGCCGCGCATCGTCGCTCATGAAGATGACGTGGCTGCGCGTGGTTGGACGGAAGGGGAGCGGAGGCGGGAAGCGAATTGCGGCGTGGGGAAAATGAATTCCGGCGGGAAGCGAATTGCGGCGGGAAAGGGAAAACGCGGCGAAGAAAGAAGCAAGAAGCAAGAAAAAGACGTGCGACGGTGGCGATACTAGAAGCGAGTCGGAAAGAAATGGGCATCGAAGATGTGCGCGCTGTGCAATGCAATCAGCAAAGTCCTTCCGTTGGAGAGCAGCGCAGCCAGCGTCGCTACTATCCGCGTCACTTTTGAGAATTCAAGAAAAAAGAAGTCCGATAAACGCGCAACACATCCCGCGCTCTTCCATACTGAGCTGCGCAGGATGAGATGTGTAGCCATGGCTACAGCTTCAAGCTGTGAACCTCAGGCTGTCGAACTAGCTGCTACCTGCCTCTGATGCGACATTTCCCTTATGTCATCAGATTGAATCCACGTACCATGCGATGAGATGTGCGAAGGTGCCAATGAAGGTAACCAGCCCGCATATTCTTCGCTGCGTTCGCATGACGACGAGAGTGAAGGACGCTGCGAGGATGAAATGCAGCAGCACGTCGGGAGTGAAGGAGATTAAAGATAGAAGCACCCCAGAAACTGCGGCGTATACGTGGCGAAGCGCGGGAGAGCGGATAAACCGGTGAAGGTACGCGACGGGGACGGACGAAAGCGCGCCGACGAGATACGCTGCGGCGGAATAATCTACATCGAAGGCATCGGAGAATAGTCTGACGGGATCCATGGTTTAACAATGTCTTAACTATGATTCGCGCGGGTTACGTTCTATACGACAAGTTCAGTAATCAGGATTTGGAGTGTTTCAATGTCAACAGGGCGTAATCGTTAGTAATCTCAAGACGTGGTTTCCTTGCTGCAAAAACTAGCAGGGCGAATGTTGTTGAAAGACATCCACGGTCCTAACTCTGGTCACAAATAGCTGTGTAATGAAACTTATAAGTTGACCCGTCCATCGGCCCACCACTGCTGTGATTGCCAAGAAGCGGACAGCGCGTCGCCAATCATTCTGGTTGCTAGCAGTCGGTTCCGCTCAACGCGTGGGACGAGGGAAGAAAGGGAGTACACAGTAGAAGGAGAAGGGTGTTTGATTGGTAATGGGAAGCGTGTGTGACGTGACCACTGACCAGTACAGTGCAGAGCGATTTCCCTGGCTTGGTCAGAACAGAACCGAGGCTGGGGAAAGGCTATCTTTGCTTCGGGAGGATGGTGTAGAAGATGGTTCAGTTAGCGAAAGTCGAACAGATTTCGCCTGGGTAAGGATGTGGGCTTTGCGAGGAATATTGAACCAGCGAGCTCTCTGAAACATTTCGTCATTTCAGTGTTACAGAAAGTCTATCGCAAAGCCAGGACTTCGTCTTCCCAGCCACGTCCCATTGGCCGGACCAAGAAGCCTAGTTCCGCACCGCACCCCTGCTGGCTTGTTGTGGCAACAGAGGACAATTACCCCACAGCCACGAACGCAGTGACCGCGGGGGAGAGATTCCACTCGACGCGACGCGACCATCACCGCTTATAGCGACGGTGCACATTTGCCACCCAAAACCCAGAACCCTGGCGAACTGTTACTGCGGATGGAAAGTGTCCGCACGAAATCCTGGTTTTCGCCAGCCAGCACTTTCGCGCTGGCAAGCCTGGTTAAAAAAAAAAACTTCTGAACCCAACACTGCCAAACGTTGCCCGTCGCTCCCCTCCCTACGATTCGTTGCCGAAAACACATTGGTTCGTCGGTTCCGTCCCTCCCCTCCCTACGATTCGCGCCAACCAATAAGGTGCTTCTCATAGCACGAACCGTCAAATTTGACGATGTCAAACTCAGCGGGGCGCACTTACCACAACGAGTTTGTTTGTGCGATGAGTTACACATGATGATGTGGATGTGATGACCGGGCCTGCCGATTGGTCTGGGCGCTGATCCGAGCTGCCTCAGCTGAAGTAGTGCGGAACGCCTCGGCATGCCCCGGTGCGCCGGGTTTCTCGAAGCATCCACCGTTAAAAAATGATACCGCTCCCCACCGCTAGACATTTCCACGACAGCCAGCAACCATAGCCAACCTTGTTGAGTGTACCTATAACGATAGAGGTGCAGCCCGTACACTTTGCACTTTCAGCCTTCAACGCTGTTTATGGTGTGTAATTAACCATGGCTGTCTGTCCCTTCATGGTTTTTCTTGGTCACTAAACATACTGTGGGATTGCTCTGTATGTACCTAGAAGTACACATTGAAGCACATCCGGAGCAGTAGTTTCAGCCCACGAGGCCTTCACAATTGTATTGTGAAGGTACAGGTAAAATTGTAGAGAGGACCATTGCATTCTGCGGATTAGCGTCGTCTCACACACATCAATAAATTACTAGAATATTGCAGATTCCACAGCAACAAGCATAACAACGACCAACACCATTGATGAGGTCACCTCATCATATCAACTACCGTAAACCTGAACGCCAAGGCTCTAGAGCAACTACCAAATCAGGAAAAGACGACAACCTTCTTATCCGCGCCGGCCCGCTTCCAGACGCCTCCGAACGCCCAGTCTTCGTACCCGCCATTGCCAAGATTCTTCACACAGAAACGGCCCTTCTTGTAATACACGGTGAACTTCGATATATCCCCGGAATGCCGCACCTCCACCTGCGCGGACGCCGGGTCGCCCTGCACGGAATGCTTGCTCTGAATTACCATCACGTTGTACCCCGCGTTCAAGAATAATTCCACGATCGTCTGAGTCACCGCGTCGTCTCTTGGACCGTCAATCGTGCCCAAGTTGCCGGAAATGATCTGTTCCTCAGTCAAATCGTCCCAGCTGAACAATTTCCGCTCCACCCTGTGCGGGGATACCGCGGAATCCGCGCTGGTGTCGGACGGGGACGGGTGCAGGGTAGGCCGCGCGGCGCTGGCGCTGGTGACGGCGAGGAGGAGCAGGACGGAAAGAGTGAGAGGAAGCAGCTTGCGAGTCGAGTGAAGCCACACGTTGGCCATTAAGAAATCGGTTGGATGATCGTATCTCGGATGTACAAATTGCCAGAGACTAACAATCAGCGGTGAAAAGCTAACCCTGCACGGGAGAATTTAAATCCGTGAGCCGCGAGATGCTTGGTATGCGAATCGAAAGCAGGAAAGAGAAAACGGAGACAGAAGCTGTGATGATTGAGGTGAGTCGCAGCGTCTAATTTATAGCCCTTGGCATAGTTCAAAACTGGAACTGGACTCTGACGTGAAGGCGGTTTGCAACTAGCTTGGGCCGCCATGGCCAATGATTAGCGTACGGACTACGCTCGGACGTGATTGATACGTGAGATTGGAGTTCTTCAGGTCCGACTAGGCTGTTAGTCATGAAAGCGGCAGTGATGTACGTGGTGAGCTGAGTCGTGTCGAGGGGTGGAAGGGAAGGGTGGATGTGAAGGAGATAGGGAAGTAAGTTCCTTCGCTGGAGGGGAGGATCTGCCCGTCCGTTGGCGAAATCGATGATGTTGTGCACGCGTCGCCTGAAACGATTTAGGGTAACGTGCGTGACGATGTTTCAAATTACACCGCGTCCTTGTCCTTTTCACCAGAAGTAAAATGTAAAAATTGAACAAATTATATTCAGCCTTTTCAACATCTACAGATGATGCATGCCTTTTCAACATCTACAGATGATGCATGCAGATTAATTTCTAGCAAATACTAAACGTTTCTTAGAGCTTTCATTTTTTCTCTCAGCATGGAACCAAATCAGGCTTCATAATGGCTAGGGTTAATTAATGATGTCAGCAACCCGCCGTAATTGGCAGAGCTCGTCTTCTCCTCTCACGCACACAAGACAGCCTGCAACGCATGTCAGAAGTATCTGTGCAGGAATGATGAATGACTAGCAACAGGGAGATACAAGTGTGAAACCCTAACTGGGGTTGTACTCTATACTGAGCACCTCACTGTAGCCTAGCTGCCTAGCAGACTAAGAACATACAAATATGTTTTGACACACCCCCCTAGGCAAAGTGAGTGATAGCCAACACAACAAACGGTCACAAGACCAGTCAGGCAAAAGAACAAGCAATGCAAAGCCCAGGATGGATCTCAAGATCACCACTCATTCTGAGCACAAGCAAGAGGCCACAAGGCCAGTTCACATGCAGAGTTATAATAGCAAGGCAGTACACTGATCACAACCTAGCAAGAGTCAACATGCAGGTAAAAATATAGATATCAGTGTACAACAACTGCAAGATCAAGAGACAAGCAGGTGAGGCAGAACGGGCAGAAGCCCAAGAGCAGTGAAAAAACGCTGATGATCACCAGACCCGAGGGCCTTGGTGAAGACATCAGCAGTGTTGGCCCGAGAGGCCATGTAGGAAAGGCGAAGCTGACCACGCTGCTGCAGCTCTCGTGCAAGAAAGTAGCGAAAAGCAATGTGCTTCGTTCTGTGCTCCAGTCTCTGCTCGTGACACAAGGCAAGCATGGCCTTGTTGTCGACGTACAGAACTGGAGGAGAATGAGGCCGCTCCCCCAAGTCGGTCAGCAGGTAGGTCAGCCAGCGTAGCTCCTGTGCAGCCATAGCCCCAGCGTAGATCTCGGCCTCACAGCTGGAACCAAGCACAGAAGAAGAACGAGTGGACCTCCACGAGACAGAACCAGAGCCAAGACTGAAGGTGTAACCCTGTGACGAACGCTGAGTCGCCTGGTCGTCGGCCCAAGAAGCGTTGGAGTGTCCTGTGAGTACCACTGAACCCCGTCGTCCAAGCACGAGCCCCATGCCCGATGTACCGCACAAGTAACGCAGTACCCTCTTCGCAGCATCCCAGTGCACCTCTTCGGGAGCCACGTAGCGAGCCAGGAGGCTGAGAGGGTACGCGAGGTCAGGTCGTGTGCACGTCATCAGGTACATGAGGCAACCCACAAGCTCTGGATACGGACCATTCGGCTCTACGGACTCATCCGAAGGTGGAGCTGAGAGCGAGTGGCCAGTAGG